CTGATTGAATAGTCCTTGCTCTCTTCATCCTCCCACAGGCACACTCCTGGGCCAGGCTGGAGATGCTGGGCAGACCATGTCCTAATACCCATCTGCAAGGGATTATCTGTAAAGGGAGAAATTGTGTACCTAAGCCACACTTCACAAAGTGGCTTCAATTCTGGAGCTGAGACTTCCATGCACAAACATTGCCTCAAGTATACGCAACTGATCTTTAATGCCAGGAACATACCAATCATTTTTATAAACTATAGCAGCACCCACATATATTTCAAAATGCTTTAAGAAATTAAATTATCTCAAGATCATATCCCAGATTTGAATTAAATTGTCTCATCTTTTAACTATCACTTCAAAAATGGTGAAGAAATAAATTCATTCCCATCCTTAGAAATATTTTATATTTTAGTTTTCTTATGGAGATTCATAAATCCAACAGTATGTAGGTTAGTTATTTTCAAATTATATTTTCATGAGTTATTTTTCTTCCAAATGGAAAAAAAAATTCAAACTCTGCAATGTGTACAATTGATTTTTAAATGCACATAGGGGAATTTTAACTCCTTTTGGTGAAGAAATAGGATAATTATGAGAAAGCAAAGATAGGGGTTTTTTTTGGTTGAGAATGAAATAGAAAAATATAATTGATAATTGTCTTAGGTCCTACTATTTATAGCCTATGATTTGTTACTTGTCTCTTTTGATTTGTAATAGTTGATTTTAATAAATAAATTGCTAAGGCAGATAATGCTGATAATTTCCTTGAGAGTAGTTACAATCCTTTGTTAAAATCTTATCCAAATTCTCTTCTAAGTTAAAAATACTCATTAATGACATGCAAGCCATTTATGGACTACCATAAATAATAACAGAACTCAACATGATATACAGGCTGCATGTAAAATTTAGGAATAAGGAATGATATTGAGATTATGAATTTCCCAGTTGTGCTTGAGATTCTCTGCTGTAAAGTTTCAAGGTATATGGCTTTAAATTCTCCAAGCCTTGAGATGATTATAAAAGCCCAGAATTTCAAAGTAAAAAATTGTTTAGAATTTATGGAATTGCTAATACCCTGTTTACATGTGAAAAGAGGGATTTTAATGTATAACTATATTTGGTTACAATTTGAACAAAGCCCCCTGTTTCTCCTTGGGCCCATGTGAGTGAGAGTTTTAAGTGGCTTGACAAGAGCTCTTGAGAAACAAATCACGGCAGCAAGGAGTTTTACGGAATATAGCTGCAGAATTTTTTTGGCCACCTACAGACTGTAAAAGGCTATTTTGGTCTCCATCAGTTCTCCAGTCATATTTTCAGATTACAAGCCATGGTGACAAATGACACATTATTTTATATAAGGGTGCCAGATACCAGTAAATGGAGTATTTTGGCGAAGCTTAGTTTAGACTAATTGTTGGGAAAAAAAGAGGGAATATGTTCACAGGCTTTTTTTGACATAGTTTTGTGGATTATTATCAGTCTGTGAATGGAAATTAAAACCAAAATTATATAATCAAAAGTTGGGAATGTACATCTTGATATATGAAGTACCAAGGAGCTTATAGATGATCTTTTAGTCCACTTCCTATAAAGTGTGACACCTGTCCTTGATGGTGTTACATTTGCTATCTTTTCCAAAAGTGAATGTTGAAAATAGATTAATTATATTCTCACAGAATCAATTGATAACTTATCAGCCATGATGTGTTTCCAGAGGTGGTAAGACGTGCTACAGGAATGAAAATCTAATGTTGCCCTTCATTTCCCAGCACTTTCAGAGTGAGGCTTATGTGTGACAGACATATGCACAAGGGTTTGGCTGCCAAGTGTCAGAATCCTTGCCCACAATCAAAGTGAGCTATACATTCAGAAGAAAAAAAAAAAAAAGGATGCTGTAGTAATTTCACAAAGAGAAAAGAAGACAAATGATCTCTTGCAGATAGGTAGTCAATACAGTTTTACCAAGGGTGTCACTCTCTTGTTTTGTGGGTAAAGTTCTTCCTTTCATACTCTTATTTTTTAAACAATGACAATTTATCTTCATGCTTAGCCTCTATTTCTTCCATTTTTAATGCAGTTCCTCCTTTGTCACTCCATTCTTGTTGGTGACTTGAGTGGTGCCAGGCTGCTGAAGCTGAAGAATCTAAAACAGATGCCAATCTAACATCAGCTTATTATGTGAAATTTCTTAGTTAACATACTCCATACTACACAAAAACAATTCTGACTCACCCGGTCTGACTATAAATGTTGCTTCACATTGTTGATTACATCTTAGGCTTACCTGACATCTGATTTCTGTATATGTAAAAATCTGATGATGTGTTTGTGCTATCTGAAGCAAAAATACAACACAAGTGTAACCTTGTACAGTTTTACACATCCACCTTGATTGTAAAACTGGAACGCACAATTGTTACATATAATGTGGTTGATAATTATAAAAAACACTGCACACCTTTTTCACCTGGCTTGCTAGACTTCATCTTCAGCATATTCTTAGTGGTAATGAAACTTGCAACACACGTGTATTTTAATAAATGTAGGAATGGTTTGAAAGATACTGCACTAAAATAGAACAGTTTCCTCTGGTGAAATGAAACTTCCTTTCTTGCTTGAGCTATCCACTCTTCATCATCACACAAAGAATGAAGTGGGAGGTCTCCATGAAAGATGACAGATCTTCCCACAGATGGGAGAACAGGATATGTACTGATTAATCTATAGGTGACTTTGATAGTGAAAACTAAGGAGGTTGCCCCTGTTGGAATTTTAATGTGGGACTGACTCTAGACAAAGTAACTAAAAGATCATAAAATATTATTTGTTTCCACTTTGTTTAAAAATGTCCCTCTTGGGTGTTGACTTTGTCAGCAGGGCATGAGAAAAGAGGGTTACAGTTGCAATTTACTCCTTTGATTAGTTTTTGGTTTATTACACTTCACCTATTTCAATTCTCAGACATGTATTTCAATCATCCCAGCCCTCATATATGTATCATTTTAGTAATTTATTGTTTCAGTCTTGTCAGGAGAACTATCAGTTGAAACGGTTCAATCTTTCAATAGAGCCACAACAGGACAAATAACTTGGTTAGTTTCTAGCTATCAAGAACTGTTGACAGCAATTCAATACTAAGAAACAATGAAAGATAAAGATCTGTATCTCAAGATGAGAACTGAAGTACAAATCTGTTCAATTAGGAATGAAACTTATCACTGCATTTTCTAATGCATTTATCAACCCAACAGTCAGCTTCATTCTTCAGAGCAACTCTCTTAGCTTTGCATTAAACTTGCACGAAGCTGCCTGTTTAAATCCTTTCCTCCCTCAATAGCTCACTGTACATTATTGAAGGTAATATTTTTATAAAAAGAGTGCATAAGGAACAGAAACATTTTTGTTTGCGTCAGCTTGGTTGAAGAAAAGCCCTTAACTGTAAGATGCCCGTGAAACACATTTTTCATTACAAGAAGCCTAAAGAAGTTGAAGGGAAAAGGGCTGTCGGAGGAGCTACAGAAGAGCAAAGCTCATTCTCCTTTTTAGCGAACTTTCAATAGTGACCACCCTCCCTGACATCCTCAGCCTAACTGCAGAGAAACATTCCCAAGAGCAGGAGCGGGTCCCAGAGCATGCAGGTGAGACCGCTGCTGCTGCACTCTCAGTTCAGCAGAGGCCCCGGCACCGCCGGGCTCTCCCCGCACCGAGGAGGCGCATTGGGATTCCCTGCCCGCAGCTCCGCAGCGCCGGCGGGCGGCGAGCCCGCTGCCGAGAGGCGGCTCCGGTGGCGGCTCCCCTCGGGTCTCTCTCCTGCTGCTTTTTCCTGCTGCGTTAATTCTCCTCCTGCCTTCTGGCGAACCCGTCGGCAGAGAGATGCGGCTTCCCCGCGGCGGCCGCCTGTGCGTACGGGGGTGTGTTCATACGAGTACATAAATATCTATGCATTATATATCTGGGTGCGCCTGTGTGAGTGACTGATAGCTGCGTTAGAGCGTGTCATTGCAGCGCTGTCCGACGGGGAGGGCCGTGCCTGCGGGGGATCTCCGGCAGGGCGCTGCTGGAAGCACGAACGCGCGGAGCAGGAGGGCGACGAGCACGCAGGGCTTTCGGGAGGCACTGGGCAGCTCGTCCCTCACTCCTTGTGCTCCCTTTGCGCCCCCTCCTTGTCCGAGGCAGCCCGGAGGAGCGGCGCTGGCTGTGTGCCGGTGGCGGTGGTCGCCGCAGAGCCGTGCCCTGGGTTAGAGGCTAGGAGCCGGGGCGGGGAGAAGGCAGCGCCGCTGCCGCGCCAAGCTAGCCAGGCAGAGTGATAGAACCGGCGCCAAATTTCTTCCCTACATTGGGGGGTCGATGTACGTTCCCTCTGGCGAGCGGCCAGCCGAAACCCAGTCACACAGCTGGCAGAAAGGGCAGCCCGGACAGCCGAGCAAAATCGGAGGCAGAGTGAGGCAGGAGGGGGGCGGATAACTTTCCTGCCGGGCACGGGGTGAGTGGGCAGCCGCAGCTCTCTAGGAGAGAGCTCCGGTGAGAGCTCCGCGGGCGCCGGGCGAGCGGGCTCTCCGCGGCGCGGGGAAACACCGCCTCCCCCGGGCGGCTCGGCAGCTCCGGCACCGCGCCCGGGACCGCGCTGTCCCTGCGCGCCGCAGGTCGCGCTCACCCGGTGGTCCCAGCTCGCCCTCCCGCTGCCCGTGGGAAGCCGCTCCCGGCTCCCCGCTCGCTCGCCCCTCTCCGGCACGGGGGCCGGCCCGGGGGAGGGCTGCGCGTCACCGGATCTGGTGGCGCCGGCAGCGGGGCGGCGTTACGGAGCGCCCCGGGAGCGGTGGGGGGGCGGGCGGGGGTCCCGGGCGGGGCCGGCATCGCCGCGCCTGGCTGCGGCCGCGGTGGCGGCGCCGCGCCGCCTCGCCTCCCCTCGCCTCGCCGCGCCTGGCCGCTCGCAGCCGCGGAGGGGCGGCGCTGCTCCCCGCACGCCCCCGCCCGGCGCCCCCGCTCCGTCTCCGGGAAGGGCGCGGGGAGCCCCACGCTCCCCCTGAGCGCGGCGGCGGAGTTCGAGCCGGCGGCGGCGGCCGGGGTGCGATGCCGTGTTAGCCGGCGGCCCGCCCCGAGGTAGCGCCGGCGGGAAGGAGCGCGAGTTGCCGGGGCTGTGGCTGACACCATGGGCACCGGGCGGGGGGGCGAGGCGGCCGGGCTCCCTGCGCTCCTCGGCTGAGCCCGGGGATGTGCCGGCGCCCGGAGGAATTATTTTGGAACTAGCACGGAGCGGTGGGAGGAGGACGAGCGGCACAGCGTTTCGCAGCTGCGAGGAGGTCGTCCGGCGGTGCTGTATAGGCAAGTAAGCTCTTGCTTCCTTTTCGCTGCGTTTCCTTCGTTCTCGAGTGACTTTTTTTTTGCAGCTGCTGGTCGCTTGCTGCCGGTTCGGAGGCAGGATGGTCGGCGGCGCCGCCAGCAGCAGTTCTCGGGGGTTGAGGTGCGGGGGATTGGTGGCCAGGATTGCAGGGGAGCCCCGCTCCAACTCTGCCGGAGTCCGCCGCGGGCGCACTCGCGGTGCATAGCCGGGAAGGCAGCTCCGTGTCCCAATGCTTCCCACTTCTGCAACTGTAAGGGATGATGCCTTTTTTTCAGGCATTTCATAATGTAAAATGCCTTCTCCTCTTTGCTGAGCTGTAACTAAATTGTAGGAGTCCCTTAATTGCTTTCCATCAGTGCTTCTTGTGGGAGAGAGGCAAGAAGCATGTTAGCCTTTCATACGCACTTATGGATTCAGATAGTGAACCCGGAGTTTTGATTTTTATGCCCTTAACTTTCTTAAACCCTGCCTGGTGTTCTTCCTTGAGATGCTCTTGCTGTGAGGTTAAGGTTCGTCCAGCCTTGTTTGTTTGCTTGTAGCCTGTGGGTGTTTATTGCTACACTTGACATGGCAATGAAGGGAAAAGTTGACTGTAATTTATTTCAGTGTATGGAGGACAGGTTGCAGGCAGGGGACTAATTCTTCTCTCAGAGGAACTCCACTTCAAAGGAAGAGGCCCATGGGGCTGTAATCTGTAGCTGAAAACCGGGAGAGCACAGGGCAGACCGGTCACGCTGCAAAGAACGAGTTCTGTTCACCTTTAAGCGGTGACAGCGTTTAAGCTAAGCTGCCTGCCTGCCTTCCCGTACCTGTGAAAAGACCTGACTCTGAAATGCAGGGAATAGAGATGCGAATGCTGGGCAGGTCTGGGAGAAGGCAGAACTTTAGACAATGTGTAATTAAGTTTGCTGTTACTAATTTCTTCAGTATCTTCTCTATGAGCCTGAAAACTGCAATCTGTTACAGTGACCTTGATGCATGTTGTATTCTAACATGAAAGTGGAACAGAATAAAAGTATTTACGCATATTTACAGCTAAGCTCTGATGTTTCACTAGGAGCTCATTCAGTTTCAGGGAATGTGGTGGTTTCAGCAGGGGCACTGGGCATGGTATGTGTGTAGGAAATAACTTGGGAAAATAACTTGCTAATAGTGATGAAAGTAAAAGTTGAGGTGTTGGAAATGTATGTTTCTGCAGAAATGCCACTGTGTGTGAAATGTCTGTTGAGTTTTGGATATTTCGTTCTCTAATCAGTGAGATCTGTACTGAAAGGAGTGTGTGGGTGTGTGTGGAAATCTCAAGGCTTCCCAGGTTAATGCACTTTCAGATGTCAGCAGCAGGAGATCTTTTTGTGCACTGAAATACACATTTTTACGTAGATGCAAGATTGACATGATAAGAATTAAAAGTGTTGGGATGTCAGTACGGTGAACATGCAGCTAACTCAAGTTTAAAGCTGAAAGATAAACTAATCCTTTCCCTTAATGGTGGAAGGTGATCTGCCTGGAGGGAGTGTCATTTGTTTCAGTGCAATTTATGGAGAATGTTCATATTTCTGTCTCTCTGATGAAGCTGTGAAACACAATTAGAATAACTGTTGCTAGACAGTGGGATGCAAACCTATCCATTACTTAAAACACTCAGCTTATTCTGCCTCATATCAAAAAAAGTATAGTTTCTGGCAAAGTCTGCCTGTGGTTCTGTTGTAGTAATTCCTTCCTCTGTTGCAGAGTGGCAGGCTTTCACTAGGCATGTGCAAGGGAGAACATGAAACACTGAAGCATGCACTAGTCTGGAATTCATTTGGGCTATGTATTACATTCGAGGTTTCCACAGTTCGCATAAGTAAGTGTTTATGCCTGATAATATGAATAAACGGGGTTTAAAAATTGTATTGGCTTTGTCACTTGTGATGCATGTTGCAGACTTCTTCCTTTTTAGTCTCTCAAACTAATCTAATGCTATACTCACTCTTTGCCTGGAGAAGAAGAAAACATAATTTAATGATTTATCATTTGGCTTTTGCCGTGTCTTGTCCCATAGCCATAAGATAATCTAATGACGGCCCCCATCACTGAATTAAAGGACATGGTGCTCTAGACTTTCACTTATAGTCAGATTTCCCCTCTTTTACATGGCTAAAGAACAGAGTTTTAACAAGGTCTGAGAAAAAAAGTAAATGTTGCTTTTTCTGTTAGAAACTCAAAAAGAAAGGGGAAGGTAAGACTTGAGGTTTTTAAAGACATCATAAAAAACATCCACTTTTAAGATATTAATCAACCTCCTTTACCTTCACACATTTCTTTTTCTTTTATTTGGTCAGAAAGCCTTCCTGCATAGGAATACTTTATTTCACAATGTATGCAGTTCTTAATTTTAAAAATTCAGGAGTGGCTATCACACACTTCATTGTAAGGCTGTTCTAGAATCCTGTTTAATGATCTGTATTCCACTTGGCTTGTATCTTTTGAATCAGATGTTTCCAAAGTACGTTATATTCAACTTTATAGTATGCATTTTTGTTTTAATTCTATGTAAATCTCTTCACTAGAGAAGAATGTTGACCTTGATTCAGAAATTTCAGGGCAAGCTCAGAAGTTGTTTTTCTTTCTTAATTTTTTCATGTTTTCTCAGTCATGCTTTTTGGGCATGGCTTTTGTGAACTGACAGAAAGACCTGTAAGCAAAATTAAAACCACCACCAATTAAGTGTGATTTTTCTAGTGAGCCCAACCCAGTTGTGTGTGTAATTTCTATTTATTCATCTTAGATTGAATATTAAGACAAACAAACAAGAGCTGTGGTCTGCTCTCAGTTCTTCCTTCTGAAGTGCTCAACTACCATTTCTTCATTCTTGTAACTTAGCACTGGTCCTTGTGCCTGAGCTGCCATCATTTCTTTCTGATAGTCATCACCAGGTCTGCTTGTATTGACTGTTAAAAAGCTAAAGTGTTGTGAATGGTAAGAAACATCAAAAGGATTTAATTTTTCATGTTTCTTAGCCCTTCCCATGGGTGTGCTTTCAGTTCAGGTTTCCAGAGAGAGGCCTGAGTGTGGTTGGGTTGAATCCCAACATGAGTCTGCTGCATCAACGTGTACCTCTGGCAGTATGCTGTGACACTGGCTCAGCATTGTTACACAGACAAACTTCTGTATTTGCTCAGTTTTGTCTGCCATAACTGGAAGCCTCAGAAAGCCTTTCTGTTGTTGTGGCCAACCTAGATTTTCTGCATTCCTGTTGCATATCAGAGGAAAGAGAGAAAGCATACATTAAAAAACCAAAAATGCAGAACTCAAAACAGGTCATGTCTCAAAGATATAGCTGTAATCAACACCAGGGAATGCAGTGGAGACACATCCAGGGAAATTCACTCATGTATTTAATTATCCAAGGAGGAAATTATTATTTATCTTGAGAGATTGATTTAGTAGGCGATCTGCCTACCCCTTATGAAGAAGGGGAGCTATGTGATACAGAAACAAAGCTTTTTTCAGTTGTGGCTGTCACTGTCTAAGCCTTCTCTTCAGTAATTAGCTTGGATTGGCCAAAAGAGGTGGAACACTCTGTTGTGTGATGGAGCTGGTGCTGCAGCAGCCAAGAGCTGGGTTGTTTCCTGGGGATTTGCTCTCTTCAATTTATTTAAGTAATGAGTAGAGAAAAACTAATCAAGAAGAGTGTTCAGGATGAGATTAATTTTATGGTTCATTCTGTGGTTTATTTTGGGTAGTACTGGGCAAAACCATAAAAGTTCTTCACTGTGATACTTATGTGAGAGTAGCAATAGTTTTGACTGACATATATAAATATATGTAATATATATATAGCCACTGAAATTCCTGTGTAAGATGTGGTTCAGTGAAGGCACTGATGCTTTACTACTGGCATGGGTACTGAGTCTGTGAAAGAACTCATGGCTTCAAGGGATGCTATGGGTGCAGTTGATTGATTGCTCAATTCTGCAGGTGGTTATCATCGGGAACAGGGATGAATTTTTAATTTTTTCTATGAGGTTTGTTCCTTGCTCTTAGATTTGGATGTTCATTCCTTGGTTGGTTGAGATTTTGGTTCAAAGGTGTGCTTTTAAAGTGACAAACATCAAGCACTTCTGAAGTGTTCATTGCTTGGAGCTTTTGAGATAACACCAGAGGAGGAACAATTTATTCAGCAGCTTATTCTGAAGTTTGGCTTTATTTTATTTTTTGTTCATTCTCAATGTGAACAGTGAACAGTGTACTTGGTTTCATCTTGAAGATGTTCGAAATGGCATTTTAAGTAAATTTTATATTGCTTTTTGGTTAAATTATTCAAGATTCAAGTGTGAATAATAGCTATTTGAACAAAAAAAAAAAAAACACACATGCCTTTTCCCCTGCACTTTTTGTATTAAATTTATTTTAAAAACAGCTAACCATAAAGAAGTGAGAATGGGAATGCTGTTTATGACATTCATATTTCTTCTGCTTTCTGTCAAAAACTAAAGGCAATTTCATCATCTTGTACAAATGACAGACTGTCATGAGTGATACTAATCATGTCCTCTGATTCTTTCTTGGTGTAAAGACTATTTTGCTGGTTTTTTGAATTTAGTGTAAAAATGTCATTGATTTCAACAGGTATAATACTAAGAACTTGGGAATATTTAAAACTACTTAAAAATTTTGATATTCATACTTAATGTAGCCGTTAATATTTGTCTTAATACCAAGCACTGATTCTTAATTACAGAATTGTTTCTAAAATAATTTGCTGGTTTGCATTTTCTAAATATATATTCATTCATAATTATGTGAGATAGCTTTTTCTAGTTTCTCTGTATGCCAAAATCTTTTGATTGACTCTTTTAACAGTTCTGAATAATGAACTGTATGCTTCAGCTTCAACAACACAAATGGGCATTGATTTTCTTTGACTTGCTTTTGACCCCTAAAGAAGTAAAGTCATTAGAATTATGCTTGAAAGAGCTTTGCTCTATCTCCTATAATTT